GGTCTGGAACCAACTTCCAAGAGAAGTGCTGCAGGCTCCTACCCTGGGAGTTTTTAAGAGGAGGTTAGATGAACACCTTGCTGGGGTCATTTGACCCCAGTACTCTTTCCTGCCATGGCAGGGAGTCGGACTAGATGATCTGCTCAGGTCCCTTCCAACCCTAGTAACTATGAAATTATGAAACACACAGAGTCACATGTCACGAGTTTTCCTTGTCAGAAGCCTGAGGTGCAGTTTCCCAGAAACCCCTGCACCTATCTCTTTGAAACCTGGCAAGCTCCATGGCCTCAGAAGGGGCTAGCGTCCCTGCAAGTTTCATCTGAATCAAGCAAGAAATGACAAAGTTATAGGCAGTTTTGTGATTCCCTATTATAGCCTATGGCCAAAACACCGTCGAAATTCCAAAACAGCTCTGAAAGAGTTTCAGGTGAAATGAAACAGGACAGTGATTCAAAATGCTGAAATGAATCACTGTCCCCACAAAACACCAAATGCAAAGCGAAACAAAGCACAGCCATTTCGGACAGCCCTCCAAAACACCAAAATGAAACACTGTCCCTCTGGAACACCAAACAAGAAACTGAAACTAAACACGGGCATTTCGTACAGCCCTAATATACATACATACACACACCCACAAGCACACACACACGCACATGTGTGTATATATTACATATGTGTGTGTATATGTAGTATACACACACATATAATATATACATATATACACATGTACATATATACACATACTATATATATATACATACACACATATATACACGTGTATATATGTATATGTATATGTATATACATATGTATATATGTGTGTGTGTTTACACACACACACATGCATGCACACCCTTTCAGGTGTCCCAGATAACTCTGCTTTTTATAAATTTGTTCACCACCCCCAGATAATAGCCAGTCAATGAGCAATAGCTATGCAGCATCATTTATTATTAATACATGTAGAACACAGAAGCTTCTTCGGTTTTTCCAACTTAATTATAAATGTAGAAATATTCTTTCATACCTGTCTTGCACAGTAACTAGGAAAGCTTTGTTATTTTCACAGATTTGCTTGGCTTCAGAAAATGTTGCAGGTACTTGTCCAACTAAGTAACAGTAAAAACCATGTCTTTTCCAGCCCTGTCAACATAAACATCAGATGTGCATGCATGTTATTGTCAGATTGTGAAATTACACTATATACATTAGCTGTATGCTACACTTCTAAACCTTGTATTAATGTTATGCCTTGTTTCCAATGCAATAACCAAGCAGTGATAGTGGCAGGGGTTAGATAGGACTGTCATTCCTTCGCCATGAGTATATTCCACAGAGAAGCTTCTGAGAGTGTCCTACAAGTTACCTGTGGTTTGCAATTAAATTATACGCTTAGAAACACTGCACAGCTCCCCTTAAAACTGTGGCTAAATTAGGATTTTGATCTGCTTTCTGGTTAACTGAAAGTGAACTGTGCTACCATCTTTTCCTCCCTGTTTGTTAACAGTGGGACATTTCATCAAACACTAGTTCAGTGCAAGACATTTGTGGCCTTCAGAAATCTACATGACACAGAAAGACATCAGTGCTTGTTCATCTATACTCTGACTTGGTCATGGAAAACAACTGCTTTGTAATTAGAGCTGTGGGACACAAAGTGTTTGATCAACCATAAACTGAATGTATTTTCTTTCCAGTTCACAGTCCTATGTCTCAGTGTCTTTGGAATACTTCATTTGGATAAGTGCCATGATTAGCATGAACTCAACATGGATAAAAATGTTGCGTTCCTTATCAGTGATCTTCAAGAGATTATTTATGTATGAACAAAGCTGCATAGAACTGCTCAATTCACAGAAAACAGTATACTGAGACAAGGAGGCACAAGGAACTGAGAAAGTAATTCAGGTCAAGCATTGCCTAAGAGCCATTTCTGGTGTGAAAATTATCAAAAGGCAGAAAAACAACCTGCTAGTATGAAAGCTGAGTGGTTACTATTGATGAAATCCTAAAAGGTAACATCATTTCATAGAATGTGAAACAAATAAACCAAATAACCTCCATGGATCGTGACACATTTTATTTTGCACTTACCTTTTGGCAGCCTTGGTCAATAATCTCAACCTCCCCAGGTTCTTCTGCCAGAGGTTTCCGTTTACAAATGTACCCAAATTTCTTTTTACAGTCATCATCTGCCCAGTACCCATCCTGAACATGGCAGGTGGAGAAAATAAATGCTAATGAAGAGGTATTCAAAGTCTTTGGAACAGTTCTTATTCCTCTTTAAAATCATAGGAACACAGTTCTGGAAGGTACATCACAAAGTCACCTAGTCCAGCCCACTGCTCAAGGCAGATACATCCCTGACTAAACCATCCCAGCCATGAGTTTTTCCTTTAAAGTTTCAGAACAAATCAGAACCAGAATTAGATTGATCATTAACTTATCCCAAGACTGGACTCACAGCTCACCTCAGGTTTGGTTTTAATCATTTCAAATCCCCACCCTCCTCTCTGACATGACTATGTCTCCTTCTTTATTTTGGCCATGCAAGAGTTCCTCCCTTTATCTTTAAATATTCCACTGGAGGACTCTTCTGCTCTCTCTAAACCATCTTAGATCATTACAACGGATAATATTTAGGAGGATATTCCTGCCCTCACAGTTCAGAGTATTACAATGGGCATTTATTTAGTCTGCCGTCACTGCTGAGAAAAGTAAATCAGTATTCTTCTTGTCTGAGTAGTATCTAAGCATATTGCTGAAGTGCATTAGGAATGGCTAGCCTCTTCATTTAGAGTTTCCTTTTTCTTTGTCCATGTCCTTCAGGAAAAACATGATCTTTTTTTAAAAAAAAGTCTATGTAGCTATTTCATGCTTGCTATACCATAAATTATTATTATTGAAGTCAATGAGATATGCTTTGTCCTGGGAGCAACAGATAGTAAGGTCTGAAGTAGTTTTTAGTTCCTGCAGGCTGGCAGTAACTGAAAGGATATTCATTAGGCCTGTGTAAAGCAGCTAGTATTCACTTTGGATTTGGATTCAGCTGATTCAGGGCACAGTGATTTGATTTAGTGATTTGAATCACTGTCCCAAATTGATTCAGCCAAATCTGGTTTGGAGATTTGGCTCCCATCGAATCAGCTGAATCTCTGAATCAAACAGGCCTCATCCCCCGCCCACTCTACCAGCCCCATCAATGGCTGCCCCACCTGACTCCAGCATCCCAGCACTTCCCCCCCCCCCAAAAAAAGCCTCACACTCACTGGCTTCTGCCAGGCAGGGGGGTGATCCTCTCTACCCCACACTGTGGGGAGGAGGCTCTGCCACGAGCCTCCAGAGGCCCCAGTGGCTGCTGCAGCAGCTGGTGAGTGGAGGGCTTTTTTTTTTTTCTTTAAAGCACCAGGATACTGTGGCCTGTCAGGGCAGCCATTGATGGGGCTGGGACAGTGGGTGGGGGTTGGGGAGTGCTCAGAGGGGCTGAGGGATTAGGCAGGGGACGGGGCCTGGAGGAGGTCCCCCCATGGTTCCCTTCCCCCTCCACCAGCCCCCACCCCCTACTTACTAGTACAGAGTCTGGGTCCAGCTCCATGTGTGGCAAGCAAGGACTGTCCAAATCACCTCTGAATCTTTTCTAAATTGACTCATAGGGTTTGATCAATTTGGACCTTTTTTTGGTCTCCCAATTCAATTTGGATTTGGAGAATCGGAGATACGGTCGCTGAATCGAGCCGAATCTCCTCCAAATCGAATCAGCAACCAAAGATTCACACAGCCCTAATATTTGTGGTGTACAATGCTAGCTATTGGACTGCATGACAGTTTTTGACAACAGGAACCCCCCCTACTATAGAAACTTTCTAACTTCTGCAAGGACAGGTAGTATGTAAACCTCAACCATGGTGCAGCAGCACACTTGATTCATAAAATGAGTCCAGATACTACAAATAGGAATCCCGAGTGTCAAAAACATTCTGACCTGTTGTGGTCTGTTGAGTTCTTTACAGAATCACTTTACTATTTTTCCATGATCAAAAAACAAGTGAAAGCTAAGATTTGGAATTTTCTGAGAGGTGAACTGAATCTAACATAGTTGAGAATCTCTGCTCTGGCAGAAAGCTGAAGGGAAAGATTTTCCTAACTTGTTTTCTTGAGTTCATAGGGAGTACTATACCTCAAATCTGTAAATATTTAAGTCAGCCAGGAAGAGGTTGGATTTAATATTTACAAAACTTCAGTGGGCCATACTAAATTTGGGAAAATATCTTCATTTTGTGTCTTTAAAAAACTATAATATAAATATAGGGAAAAACAGAGTTAGAATGTAAAAAATATAACAGTGATACAGTTGGTCCATTCTTTGTATATATAGATATAAACAGAACCAAACACAAAGCAGGCCCTTTTGTGAATGTGTAATGCCAAATATATGAGAGCCTAAACCTATTTTTATCTTTCATAAAATCATCACAAGCATGCTAGTGGTTTTCCTAGTCCCTGCACTAGGAACCTTACCCCAAAAATGAAAATCATCCAATTTGCCTTTGGATACTCAATGTTCGTCGCTTAGCTAAGGAAGAACCGATCATTTTAACTATTCCAGAGTAGATAAAGCCTCATGGCAGAGGACAACCTCCCATGTTTTATCTTAAATGTACCCATGCATCGCCTTCTCTCAAACATTCTACAAAAAACCTTTAGGATCAGGGCCAAAATGCTGCATTTGTTAGACACCTAAACCTGTAAGAGCCATGGGATATAGCTATATGGCAGAAGGTAGTGCCATGCTGAGATACTTCTTGCCCATTTCACACGTAGCAGTTCTGTAAGAAGAAGCAGGAGGCGCATTACTTTCTGAGAGAAGGAGCTTATTGCCACACATGTAGTACTGTACAAGCTGCACTCCTTTCCATGCTGAAGCACATGGAGAAGGGCTCATGGAGCAGGTGTTGCACATCCCAGAGCTGTTGTCTGTCATTACTTCATCAATTATTGGCCTCAGACTAGTTCCCTTG